GTAAGTTTTCCAACATCACAAAGTGGCAGAGCCAGAAATCACACTCAGTCCTCTGACTCCAAACCTAGTACTCTTTTCTATGACACCTTCCAATCAAATGATTCCCTCCTTTACTGCCTAACTAAAAGTAGCCCAGAAAGTGAACAAATGAAATGATTGATTCTTGGAAGCTCTACCAATTAATGAGTATTCACTAAGGACCTACTAGGTACAAGACATATTACAAGGCATTGCTGTCAAATAAGAGAGAAAGTTCCTAATCTTCAATGAGTTTAAAGTATAACTGAGGAAATAAGACCTAAAAGCATGAAAAGATAATTAATGTTCCAAGGAAGTATATTAAGTTAACAGGAAGTAGGCTAAGACAAGGATATGATGATCAGGGGTGACAAAACCATAACTGGTCTCCATGGGTGGTTAGTCATACCTTAAAAATGTTGTCCCTACTCCCTAGGCCACCTGCCAGTGGCCCTGAGCCCTCATTTCCTCCCCACACTCCACTTCCTGCTCCTTTGACTTCTCCACCATGCCCCCAGGAACGTTATGATAGGGAAATCTCATCATCCTGCAAGATGGAATCAGCCTTAGCAATCATACCTTATTGATAATGTTTGTCCCTCTAACTACAGTAGAGAGCCATGAATTTTTCTTTCTTTCTTTTTTCTTTCTTTCTTTCTTCCTTCCTTCCTACCTATCTTTCTCTTTTTTCTCTCTCTGTCTTCCTTTCATCTTCTTTATTTTTCTTTCTTTCTTCCTTCTTTTTTCCCTCCTTCTTTCCTTTTCTTTCTTCATTCATTCATTCACTCATTTATTAATTTGTAATTCACTTTTATATCATATGTGTGTGTGTTTGCCATGAATTCCTAAACCTCTGTTTAAGAAGGGAGCCCAGGACAGCCATCTCCTCATTTCCCATCTGGCTGCCCTCCTTTTGGACTTCTCCATACCAGGTACCTTTTTTTGTTCTGTTTCTAGTCAACAATCAAAAAAAAATTTATTAAGGGCCTACTATGTACCAGGCACTATGCTAAATTCTGGAGGTACAAAATGAATCAAAAAAGAGTTCCAGCCTTCAAGGAATTTAGAATCTAATGGGAGAGACAATAAGCAAACAAATATTTATAAACAAGCTATATATACAGGATAAATAGGAATAAATAAAAGAGGGAAGGTACTTGGTTGGGAAAGGCTTCCTGTAGAATATGGGATTTTAGTTGACTTAAAGAAAGCCAGGGAAGCCAGAGACAGAGATGAGGAGGGAGAGCATTCCAGGCATGGGGGACAGCCAGAGAAGATACCTGGAGCCAAGAGATAGAGTGTCATGTAGTTAAAACAGCAAGGAGGGCAGTGTTGCTAGTTTGAAGAGTAGATGGCAGAAGTGGGGAAGCAAGGTATAAAAAGACTGCAAAAACAGGGAAGACTAGGTCATGAAGGGTTTTGAATGCCAAATAGAGTATTTTGTATTTGCTCCTAAAGCAGACAGGGAATCACTGGAATTTACTGAGTAAGGAAGTGACATGTTCAAATGACTTTAGGAAAATCACTTTGGTGACTGACTGGAAAATGGGTCGGAGTGGGGAGAAACTGAGGCAAGCAGCTTTCCCCTTCCCAACAGGCTATTGTAGTAGTCCAAACATGAGGGAATGAGGGCCTGCACCAGAGTGGTAGCAGCATCAGAGGAGAGACAAAAGTGTATTCCATGTTGTAAAGAGGAAATCAATAGGTCTTGCTAATAGATGGAATATGAGAGTAAGAGATAGTGAGGAATCTAGAGTGACACTTGGGTTGCAAACCTGAGGAACTCTGAGGATGATGTTACCCAGGATTTAAGGGGAAAAGATTATGAGTTCTGTCTTGGACACATTGCACTTAAGATGTCTACTATACATCCAGTTCCAGGTGTCTGAAAGACAATTGGAGATGTGAGATTGGAGGTCAGAGAAGTTAGGTCAGGATAGTCATATTTGCAAATTGTTAGCCTAGAGATGGTAATCAAATCTATGGGAACTGATGAGATCACTAAGTGAACTAGTATAGAGGAAGAAGAGAAGAGGTACCAGGACAGAACCCTGAGGAATTCCTATAGTTAAAGAGTATGATCTGGATGAGAATCCAGTAAAGGAGACAGAGAAGGAGCCAGATAGGTGGGAGGAGTACCAGGAGAGAAGGGTATCCCAAAAACACAGAAAGAAGAGAGTATCAGGGAGGAGAAAGTGACCAATAGCGTCAAAGGCTGCAAAGAGGTCAAGAAGAATGAAAACTGAGAAAAGGCCATTGAATTTGGTGTCTAAAAGACCACTGGTAACTTTGGAAAGAGCAATTTTAATGAAATGTTGGGGGTTGGAAGCCAGATTGTAAAAGGTTAAGAAGAGAGAGAGGAAAGAAAGTGTTTTCTTTTGTGTGTTGTCTTCACCCATTAGATTGTAAGCTCCTTGAGGACCGGGATTATCTTTGTTTTTTCATATTTGTATCTCCATTGCTTAACATAGTGCCTGGCACATAGTAGGTATTTAATAAATGTTTACTAACTGACTGCTGGCATAATCATTGATAATTCAAGCTCCCCTCCCCACCATAATGAGACATTGAAGGAGGAAGAGGAGAGAAAGACTTTAACAGAAGACAGGATTACAAAAGAAGAAATGCCAAAAACTTTAAGCACCTGATTCACACACTTGAGTTTCACAGATCATGAGCTCCCTGAGTGCAGGGCCTGGGTCTTACTTCAGCTTTACATGCCTATCACCTCACAGAATGCCTTCCTTGCACATAGCAGGTGCTTAACAACTTGTTTGACCCCAACTTTCTAAATACAACTTTGTCAGACAGATCAAAGGTAGAGATCGATCAGAGACCATTTAGTCCTCCAAAACCTCCTCATTTTACAGATATGGAAAATTAGACCCATTATGACATGAAGTAGATTGCCAAAGTGATATAGAAAGTCAGCAAAAGAGGCACAGTTTGAACCCAGGTCCTCTGATTCCAGTATTCTTTCACTGTACCATGTTGCCTCCCCAACTTTAAATCACAATAAATAGAGTGCTGAGCCTGGAGTCAGGAAGACCTGAGTTCGAATCCAACTTCAGATACTTACTAGCTATGTGATCCTGGGCAAGTCACAAGTTTGCCTTAGTTTCCTAAACTGTAAAATAGAGATGATAATAATAGTGCCTACCTCCCTGGGTTGCTGAGATGATCAAATGAGATAATATCTATAAAGTGCTGGCACATTGTAGGCATTTAATAAATGCTTGTTCCTCTTGTCCCTTCCCTTCCCTTGTGTGGTGATTCTACATAAGCAGAATTGTTGAGTTGGGATATTTCTAAAGGCACGATAGTGCAGCACTACCTGCACACACTATCCTGTCTGTAAGGAGGAAGTATGGTACAGTGGGAAGAAATTATAGACTTGAGAAAAGAAGACCTGGGTTCCAGTTTGGGTCCTGGTGATTGTTAGTGGGCAATTTGTTTTCACCTACCTGGACCTCAACTGCTTGATCTGTCATAGTACTTGCCTGGTCTATTTCACAGGCCATAGTGAGGTTCCAATGAGATCTGACTCCAAATTCAGTGCTTTTCCTATCATGCTATCATGCAGCTTCTCTTAGCAGACCAAAGAAATTCATGAAGTGCTTTGTGATTACAAAGAGCTATGTAAATGTGAAATACTCATATTGGCATGTAACCCAGTCTCAAAGCACTTTGGTATCAAAACCTTTCCTTTCTGGTAGAAACCGAAACCCTGCACCTGCAAGAGGGACATGGAGGGGTTGTCAAGAATAGGAAAGAGCGAGAATCCTAGATCTTGCCCAAGGGGAAGTTCCATGGAGTCGCTAGAGTAATAAGCTGACTATAGAGACATGTTGGAGACTGGCTGCTCCTCTCATGTTTACGTCTTCCCAGACAGAGTCTTTTCCTTGAACTTGAAATGGTGTTGGCATCTTCCATCTTCTGTCTATAAGCTTGAAGCCAGAAGCCCCCAGTGCAATAGCTGAACCCAAAGAGTCTAAAGAAATTCCAAGAATCCAAAGAAAATTGAAGAGTTCTCTCTTAGGCTCTCACCAACTCTACCTCACCCCTCACATAGTCAAGAAGCATTGATCTCCACCAATAAGGAGAGAGGCTAAACCAAGTAGGCTTTGGGACTGGGGTTACAATAGCATTAGTAGAGGAAGTGGTTTGAGATTAAATGCCTTCCTCCACTCAGAATTTTGCTTTACCCAATCAACCAACAAGAATTTATCAGGTACCTACTATATGCCAGGAGCTGTTCCAGGCACTAAAGGACAAAAAAAAAACCCATCCCTGCCCTTAAGAAGTTTATATTTTGTCATGGAAGCCATCACTCTGTAGAGACGGCAGATAATAGGGGCAGGAAATTATCTCCCTCAATTGTTTTAGATGACTGAGCAGCCATGAAGTTGGAGTTACAGGACCCAGGTTCAAATCCCAAGTCTTCTCTTTTCCAGTTCTGTGCCTCTTGTCTAATCACTTAACTCCTCTGGGATCCTGAACCAGGCAATCTCTAATGTCTTTTCTAGATCTAAATTGTCTAATCTGCAGTTAGGCCATTCCTCTCCTTCCCTGACCTTCTTACCTTCTCTGGGCAGCTCCACCTTCCTAGTGAGAGGAGTAATTTCCTGTCCTTTTACTCCCACAAGTAACAAGTTCTCTCCTCTTGCTCACATGAAGCAATAGGGTAATCAGCTCAAGGGCTGACACAAGCTGGTGCCTTTTCATTTGACCAGCCTCCTGGGCCGGACTGATCCTCTTTCTCCTCCCTCAGGGACTTTCCTAACTTCCTTCTGTAAACTAAGGAAGCAGCACACACATGCCAGTCCTCTAACAAATATGCTTGGAAAGGCTTTTTTTTTTTAAAGCCTAACCTTGGTTTCTGTTGTAGGCGGTACATTCCCCAGCAGAGGGGGGAGGGTGTGTGTGTGTGTGTGTGTGTGTGTGTGTGTGTGTGTGTGTGGTGTGTGTGTGTGCTGTCAAAGGGGTGGAGGGAAGTGGGAAAATGGGAGGGAAGAAAAGGGGGAGGAGCAGGGAGATTCATTCATCCACTTTCACAAGTTGTTGGTATATAATGGGGGAGAAGCCAGAAGTTTCAGAGTGAAGGCTGCTGTAGGGGAAAGCCATGCCAAAGGGAGAAGGCCCAGCCCTGGAACCAGAAACAGGCATGGGAATGCTACAGGAAGGAGGCAGTGACTACAGGACCAATCACAGCGCCAGAAGAGACCTAAGGAAGATGAACTCGGCTGTCACTTTCTGTGCACTCTTGGCTTTCATTCTTGCTATACTCATGGCCTATCTTCTTGTAGACAACTTCAGATCACAACAGGACATGTGTGCAACGGGTCAGGTAAGGCAATCGATGCCTCTGACAGCAGTGTCAGATGGGGAGTCGGTCGGTACATTCAAAGCCCAGAGAGAGGTCCAGTTTGCCAGCTGTGGCCCTGGACAAGAAATTAAGAGTTGTAATATTGTGGAGAAGCAAACATTAATGCCACCTGATGGCCCTGAGCATGCCCACTACCTCTGGCTTCTTTTGTTAGTTCATGAAAGGAACTAGACTGCAGGAGAGTTTCTGGCTTGTGAAGCTTTTCAAGGTTATGGGGTTTTTTTGGGTTTTGGGGGGTATTTTTTGCTCCTTTACCTTGTATCCATGGGGGAAAAAATAATATCAAGTCCTTCAGCAGTTTGGGGAATCCATTGCTTTTAAATGTTTTCTGAGTCCCTTCCATATCTGATTCTGTGAGCTTATCTCTCTGTGTCCAAAAATTAAATAATTTCTCCTACTATGTCAATCTTTCTGGTTTCCCTTAAACCCAACCTAAAGTAAAGGAAGAGAAGAATCCACATTTAGGTGTGCAAATAGCAAAATCATGTCCCAACTCCAGAAAAAAAAAATGTTGTCATTTAAGAAATTTTGATCTTGAAAAGAAAAAAAAAAGCTCAACAGAAAAAAAAATGAAGTCAGCATGTTCAGGTGATGATTGATCTCATAACTGTTAAAAGCAGTAAATCTTGGTGGCAAACAATAAGGTTCAAAGAATTTAGAGATGGATAGGGTATCATTTAGAGTCCAATCCCTGGAATCTTCTTTTGCCACTTAATTGCTATGCAACCCTGGGCAAATAATTTTACCTCTTTTGTCCTCAGTTGAAAAATGGGATACATCATTCCTATAATACCTCCCCTCACATGATTGCTATGGAATTCAAATGGGAAAATGTACGCAAATAATTCTGCAAACTTTAAAAACCCATGTAAAAGTCATTATTATTATTATTATTATTATTATTATTATTATTATTATTATTATTGCATATAATGAAATTGAAGTCTGGAAAAAGAGTATGACTTCCTAGTCACATTGTGACCACAGCACAGGGATCCAAATCCACATCCCTTGTCTACTGTGTTGCATGTCCATGAATTTTCTCTTCTGAAAATTGGTCAGTTCTAGCTAAGCCTGTAAAACTTCAAAGCCAAGAAATGGAGGGCAAAAGCATCATTTGTTTGTGACTGCACCAGCCCAGACAGTGAAAGCAGAGAAAAGGCAGACAGAAAACCTGTGTCAAGTTCTTGTGTGTCAACCCAACACCCCCATTCACACTGATCATAACACCAGAATCAAACTTGAGATAAACCCAGTCTATGTTAAACAATAGACCCTATATATGGCAGGTCGGTTTCTGAGATGGCAAAAAAAAAAAAGAAACTGTCATTATATGAGCCATATCTGTATCCAGAAGCAATACTATAGTTAAATATTAACTTCTCAAACACTACACAAAAAGACACTGAGCTCATCCTGTAAAAAAAAAAAAAACAGATTGTAATACCTATATTATCCACCTCAGAGGGTTTCATGATAAATTTAATGAAGGGCATGTACAAACCTTTGGACATGCAGGGTGTCCCAAAAGTCTTTGTACGGTTTTAAGGTTTAGCGGCTTAATGTCAACAGTTATTATTATTTTATGATTATTATCATTATTATTATTATTATTATCAAGAAAAATAGTTTTCCCTCTACTCAGTTTGTCCATTGAAACTGAAAAGAGACACTGTTACATACAGCCTGAAGCAGACACCAACAGAAAGTTGAGCTAGAAGGGACCTGGCTGAAGACTATTTAGTTCATCCTTAGAGAAGAAGAAACTGAGGCCCAGAGTAGGCAAGGGCACATCAAGAGTTAGTGTTTAGTGGAAGAGTTGAGGGTAGGACCAAGTCTCTTGGTTCCCAATCTAGAGCTCTTTCTTAATATTAGCTTTACTTAGATGATGGGTGGGGAACCTGGGGCCTCGAGGCTACATGTGGCCTCCTGACTTCAACTGTGCACAAAACGGACTTGATGAGGTATATGCAGATTCTAACTATACTGATATGCTGTGATGCTGGCCAGTCCTTCATCCATAGCCCAAATCTCTACAAGGTTGAGTTGGGTGCTTTGGTTTGAAGGAAAAGGCAAGTGACAGCAGTGTTCATTGTGTGTTGGCAATGACCAGGGAGAGGAGGATCTATGAGGAAAGGTACCCAGGACTAGCACCTAGAAAAGTGACAGCATAGGGAAATTTTCAGGCTTTGGTTAAGCCAAGGAATATGACTGACTCTCCCTGAGAAAGGAAAAGTGAAAAAGACTTAGAGAGTTGACATATAGAAATGAAAGAGATCTTAGAGATCACCCAGTCCAACCTTCTCATTGCGGGGGGGGGGGGGGCGGGAGATAGCATCCTTCAAAGGGGAAGGGAATTACCCATATCTGAAAGCAGGAAGAGAGTCTGGAAAATGAAACTAGGTAAACAATACCATCTTCACAAATCCAAATCATTCCGAGAGAATTTGAACCAAAGCCTATTTGCCCATGTGCTGTGCACTTTGTTCTCAGACACATCACATAAATAAACTTATTTGATTTTCCCAACGATTGTGTGAGGTTGTTGTTATCGTTCAGTCATTTTCAATCGCATCCAACCCTTTGTAATCCCATTTGGGGCTTTCTTGGCAAAGATACTCCAGTGGTTTGCCATTTCCAGCTCATTTTACAGATGAGGAAACTGAGGCAAAGAAGGCTGTTACTTGCTCAACGTCACAGACCTAGTAAGCATCTGAGGCTAGATTTGAACTCAGGAAAGTAAGTCTTCCTGACGTCAGGCTCAGCACTCTCACCACTGTGCCACCTAGCTACCCATGAGGTAGGTGATATTATCCCTACTTTACACATGAGGAAACTGAGGCTAAGAGAAGTTAAATGACTTGCTAAGGGTCACACAGCTAGGCCAAATTTGAAATAAGATCTTCTTGATTCCAAGACCAACATTCTAATTCAGTTCGACACCCAGTTGCCTTCAATCAGTCACTACAATCAAAAGAAACCATTTATGCTTTGAACAAACACTGAACCTAAGAGTTAAAAGGACTAGGTTAGAACCCATCAACTCACTTCATTTCTCTTTGTCTTGGTTTCCTCATCCATAAAAATGGGAATAATCCCTGCATTGCCCTGGTTTGTCACAAAGATCAAACGTAATTTACTATGTAGACATGAGCTATCGTTACCTCATCAAAGACGGAGCCGGAAAGTCAACCGTCCAAATGTTGCCACTTACATGTGGGCAAAATGTGTGACCTTTGTTTCCCTGAGAACCTGATAAGGAAGCACACAGTCACAGCTCCAATTTCCACAGAGCCCTAAGGTTTGCAAAGAGCTCTCTTACAATAACCCTCGGAGATAAGTACTGCAAAGATGATTTTCGCCACATTACAGAAGAGGAAATTGAGGCCCACGGAGATTGAGAGGTTTACCCAAAATTATGCAGCTGGAAAGCAGCAGAGCCAAGATGTGAATGCCAAATTCTCTTTTATTAGCATTTTATCCATGCATAAATATTTATGTATGTTACTACAACATTAACGCTTGATCAGAATTATAGCTGCTGCTTCTCTCTGAGCTTCAACTTCCTCAACTGAAAAATGAAGATAATACTTTGCACTCCCTGCCTCTCAAGGTTACTGGGAGGAAAATAATTTGTCAAGTTCAGGAGCTACAGAAAAAATGCTGTCGCTGTTATTGTTATTGTTGTTGTTGTTGTTGTTGTTGTTTTAAATTTAGAAAGTGAGCTATAGAGATCAGCTAGGTGGCGCAATGAGTATAGCACTGGCCCCGGAGCCAAGAGGACCTGAGTTCAAATCCAGCCTTAGATGCTTACTAGCTTGTGTGACCCTGGACAAGTCACTTAAGCCAGATTGCCTCAAAAAAAAAAAAAGGGAATACACTTGGACTACAAAAGGCCTTTTTTTTGAATCCTGCTCCAGGTGTTTAGTGTCTAAGTGATCTTGAGTCTCTTAACTTTTCTAGGACTCAGTTTCCTCATCTCTAAAAGGAGGCTGTTGGACTCCATGACCTCTAAGGTCCCCTCTGGCTCTAAATCTATGAACCTATGATTTTGTAACTCTCTACTTGCTATTCTAGGTTTAAAACAATAACAACATAACTCCCAGTCATGCATCCTTTGCACTATGTTACACAGCCCCATTCCCCATCTTTCAGCAGATAGGAGCTGCCAAAGACAGCAAGTGGGCAAGAACTAGAGATGTCTACCAAGTCAGTGTCTCAGTTGTTTTTCCAAGCTAATTTTCACTCCAAGCCCCAAGGCAAGCCAACTCAAGCATCTGCAGAATCCAAACGGGGAGCTCATGCTTCAAAACCAAGGCTAAGATTTTGAGAGCCAGCTAGCGATTAGAATCATATCTCTTGATCACTCAGGGTACTTCCAGCATTAGGAAGTTTTATTTTCAGTCTAAATGAATGAACAGGAAAGAAATCTTCCTGCCCTTTCCTTCTTCTCTACTCCTCCCCACTATGCGTAGGTGGGGATTTAAATGTACAGTCATATTAATTTCTAAGGTAGGGGTTTTTTTAGTATCTAACTTGTGATTTCATAGTCTTGGGAAAATTGCCTGGGGCACTAACAAATAATGAACAGTAAAAGTAATTTCATGAGGCAGCATGACTATGTGTTAAGCACTGGATTATATCTTAGGAGACTTATTAAGTGCCTACTCTGAATCAGGCACTGCTAAGCACTTTGTAGATCTTATCTCATTGGATCTTCACCACAACCCTGGGAAATAGATTCTTATCCCCATTTTACAGTCGAGGAAACTGAGGCAGATGATGATCAAATGACTTGCCCAGGGTCACACAACTAGTAAGTGTCTGAAGCTGGATCTGAACTCAGGCTTTCCTGACTCCAGGCCAAGTTTTCTATCCACTGCACCACCCAACTGCCTCTCATATACAAACTGTATCCTCTAATCGAACATATACAGTGACTTTCATTTTTGCATTTGTAT